AAGCTAATCAAAATCCCCCAAGGAATAAGCTGAGTAGAGGCTATCCTTCAGGTGATCCGAGAAGCTGTTGTTGACTCATGTGTGTTGAACCGCAGTCAGTCGCTAGTGTGCTGCTGGGTACAACTGGACAAGTATTGGGCATGTCAAGATGGGTGTGACACTACAGAGCCTTGAGTATAATGAAGTGGTGCCATTAAGCCGTTCTGAGTTACACTTTGGTCTTGAAGCCTCCGTCCAGACTATCGATAAGTAACAATTAAGTAAGTAACAATAAAGTAACATTAGTAAGTATCATAAGTGAGGAAATGAGGCTCTTCAGTTGCCTCGTTGCTTAGGTTCCATTGCCTATTTTTTGTTGTTTATTTATTCATGATTTTTTTTTTTTTACTTTTTGTTGTGGTATATGAGGGCATTATCCGCAGTGTTGCCACCTCACGCTCTGCGATTTTCTTGGGTGTCAAGCCTGCCTTTTGTTGACAATTATTCATCAGCTGAGCCCGTCGATATTTCTCTCTCTCTCTCTCTCTCTAAAGAGTAAGAAAATGGTCGGTAATAAAGAGAAAACTATATACTATACACTATTATCAAAGATTCAACTTCTTATTCTGTTATCGAGAGAGAGAGAGAGAGAGAGAGAGAGAGAGAGAGAGAGAGAGAGAGAGAGAGAGAGAGATATCATTAACTTCGTAAGACTAGAAGCATCTCCTGTATACAACTTGTTCTCATTTCCCAGGCTGGACTTAACAACATTAACTAAAGATTGTTAACGTGATCCAGTCTTTGTTATGACCGAAGTTCTCATACATCGAGCAGCGTGTTAAGGAAATGTTCCCCACTCTTTTACGCCGCATAATTTTACAGCATCACACTTGGTTCCTCTAATGGTCTCTAATTCTTAAAGCTTCTTACATTAAAATTTTATATCTTAACTGTTGATCTTACAAGTAAACAAACTCACGGTTTTGACTTAAGCCATAACTACAAAATGGCTATCTTAATTCTTGTTGAAAATATGTACACAGCGACTAAACGATATACTAGATAATGCACTTTTAACCATTTATGAAAGAAAAACTAATGAGAATCTAAACCCACATGTACGAGAAAGCTTAAGGGGGATCGATTTCGCAGCTGAACCATTAATTATCGTGCATCGTGCGTGTGGGTACATTTACGACATGTCTTCAATAATGTACCATCAGTATTTTTGTCACAGCACAACAATAAACATGGCATGTCTCTCCCGCCACAAGCAGAGTGATGGGGGGGGGGGAGGGGGAGGAAGAAGATGTTGGATGTGACTGCATTATTATGATTGAATTGTGATTGTAATTATTTTGTCTGATTTATGAATAAGTGGCCATTAGGTTAAGACTGACAGGTAGATAGACTGAAAGGTATTGATACGTAGACGGACGGGAATACTAGTGTAAACAGACTGAGGTATATTCTGAGACAGTGAGGGAGATAGATAGACAGTAGGAGAGATCCACAGAGAGATAAAGAGAGACAGATACATACAGAGACACAAAGAGAGATATATAGACAGTGAGAGAGATAGATAGACAGTAGGAGAGATCCACAGAGAGATAAAGAGAGACAGATACATACAGAGACACAAAGAAACAGAGTTAGGTGTGTATGTGTGTGTGTGTGTGTGTGTGTGTGTGTGTGTGTGTGTGTGTGTGTACTAGACAGGGGACGGCAACAACAGGGAAAGCGTGAAAAGGAGAGGAAAGGACGAAGGAGGAGAGGGAGAGAAGGAGAAGAAGGATGGGATAGAGGGAAGGGGGAATAAGGTAAAAATAAGAAGGGGAGGAAAAGAACAAAAGAAGGTACAGGGAAAGGACGAGAGAGAGAACGGGAAGGGAAGAGTGGAGAAGAAGAAAGGAAGGATGGAGGAATGGGAAGAAGAGAGAGAGAGCGAAAGGGGAGAAGTGAGAGAGGTGGAGGAAAGAGGACATAAAGAGATGGAAAAGAGGTGGATATGTAGAAAGAAAGAGAGAGTGATGTGCAGTGTAAGGGAGAGGGAGGGATAAGGGGGGGAGAGGAGGGGGAGCGTGGGTGCTTGATTGGGGAGGGAGGGAGGGAAGGAGAGGGGGAAGGTCACCGGTGAGTGCCGTACAGGTGAGGACGTTCACCTGACCACCCGCTGCTTTTACTCTCTCTCTCTCTCTCTCTTTCCCTTTCATCTCATCTCCTTTTCTTCCTGTCATTTCTTATTTATTATCTCTCTCTCTCTCTCTCTCTCTCTCTCTCTCTCTCTCTCTCTCTCTCTCTCTCTCTCTCTGTCACAGTCACAGCTTTAAGTGAGGAAATTAAACATATTTTTACATTACCACACGAAGGTAAACTGGACGTAAGAACCAATGATAATCCATCTTTATATCTTATCTTTAGGTGAACAGGTCAGAGGCTTATGTACATTTACACTTAAGGGTGAAATTGACGTAAGAGCCATTAAAAATCAATCTAGGTGTGGTAGCTTAAGTGGGCAGGCAAGATGTGCTTATGCATTACCCTCACTGGATTGAAACTGGACGTGGGCTGGGTTAGGTTAGGTTAGGTTAAGTTGGTCAGGTTAGGTTAAGTTGGTTAGGTTAGGTTGAATTAGGTTAAGTGGGTCAGGTTAGGTTCAATTAGGTTAAGTTGGTTAGGTTAGGTTAAATTTGGTTAGGTTAAGTAACCAGGTGTAGAAGCATATGTACTTTTCAGTACACCACTCGAGTATAAACATTAACCCAGCCGCCATGAACAATCCTGCTCCTAATCAGTGATGGCGTTCCTGTATTAAAGCAGCGAGTGGGTCGTTGATTTACGGGCGCGGGTGACTGTAGTGTGTGATCACAAGATACCACCAGGAGGTAATTTTGATGGTGGATCTTTATCATTCTTCTTCGGTAGATCTTAACGAGGCGGCAGTGTTTATGTGTGTGTGTGTGTGTCTGTCTGTCTGTCTGTCTGTGTGTTTGTGTGTGTGTGTGTGATTCTTCAGTAATCACAAGTACTTAATTTACTTATTAATTACCATAAGTTAAAAGTAAACTACATGATGAATATAATCCGTTAAAAGTGTCAGTTATAAGTTACAAGTGAATGAGGAGTCGAGTCTCCTCAGCCACACAGGTATAAGTAATGATCATATACTTTATTACTTACAAGGTCTTTCTTATGAGATTGTTCCATGACCGGTCTGTAAGGCAGGTGGCTGGAGAAACTGGTTCTTTGTATCAGTCATAGAGAGTTGTGTCGATCGTGTGTGTGTGTGTGTGTGTGTGCAAAATAGAGAAAACAAGAGAGAGAGAAATAGATAGAACGGGAGAACGAGAGAGGAATAGATAGAGAACGAGAGAAAGATAGAAAAATAGATACATAACGAGAGAGAGAGAGAGAAAAAACACTACCCTGAATTGCATCTGTTCAAGTCATCCATCCATCCATCACACGGGCCACAGTCGCTACTAATACAAGCGAGTTAGATCTGGACCTCCGCTTCGACCCTCCCCTTTCCCCCTTGTAAGTCAGTCACACTACAGGCAGATACCCTTAAATCAGGGGACTAAGCAGACAGCTATCTTATTTCGGCGACAGGACAATACTCCTTTCAGTGTGATAGATGATGTAAAGAATCACAACATGAAGGCGTGTTTTGGGGGTTAAGGTTGAGTAAGAGTGAGTTTTGGAGGTTAAGGTCGAGTAAGAGTGAGTTTTGGGAGGTTAAGGTCGAGTAAGAGTGAGTTTTTGGAGGTTAAGGTCGAGTAAGAGTGAGTTTTGGGAGGTTAAAGTCGAGTAAGAGTGAGTTTTGGGAGGTTAAGGTCGAGTAAGAGTGAGTTTTGGGAGGTTAAGGTCGAGTAAGAGTGAGTTTTGGGAGGTTAAAGTCGAGTAAGACCTAATTATACCTCACCTAACATGATTTACCCTAACTCAACCACACCTAAAACATAAACCTCCACAACGATAAAACTTCACGACATCGTAACGACAACAGCATAATCTCAGAGGAGGAAAAAAGATATAAACGTTAGAAAAAAAATATAGACGATAGAACTCTTGGCTTCGTCTCGTAAAATCCTCCCCCACGCCATTAACATATTCCTTTGGGGGATTACTGCACATGTCTGAGAGATTTATTCATCATCACTGGAACGTGTTGGTTAGGATTGAGGGGTCAAACTTAATGTGAAATGTTTTGGTATAGAATTTTTAAAGATAATTTGTAGGCGGGCGATGCTCACGACTGTAGCGGCGGCGCGAACCCATACCAGATAAAACAAGTGATGATCAAAGGTGGAGGAAGTTGATGGATGTTAAGGCAAGGGGAAGAAAAATAGTAATATGGTATAGATAAATGGAGATTCGAGATAGTAGAGTGTTTGCTTAATATAAAAAAAAAAAGTAGAATATTAATAATTGTGTCTAGTAATTGTTTATAATCGTTGGTAACTAAAAAAAAGACATTGAAAAAAGCAACAGCTATTTTGTAGTGAGATGAAGCCATTGAAATTTTTATTTTTTTATTTTTTTTAGGCAATAAAGTCATGTTTATAAACCTATTTCTAAGACTAACCAAAATGTTTTCTTAGGGTGGTAATATTTATGATGATTAGTAGGTAGTTTTTTTTGAAAGGTCGTACAGGACGTGAATTAACATGATAAATAAAATGATGTATAAGAAACGTATACATGTACATGGTATATACTGTATATATATATATATATATATATATATATATATATATATATATATATATATATATATATATATATATATATATATATATATATATATATGTATTTTTAGTTTTTTGTCGTTAAAATTCTGCACAAAAATATGAAGTTGAATGTTGCTGAAATATTTTGTCTAATATATAACCTCTCTCTCTCTCTCTCTCTCTCTCTCTCTCTCTCTCTCTCTCTCTCTCTCTCTGTATCTTTCTATCTCTTTATATTATATAACTATCTCTATATTATCTAACTACCTATCTCTTTATCTTCACCAGCGTGAATCAAACCGTCGAACCAGGAGGTGAGTGTCAGGTCCCCGGGCATCACTGAGCCACCCACAACACATTAGGTAAGACGCTTTTTACATACATTCTCTCATCAGTTTAAAGGGGGGGGAGATTTCATATAAACAAAAGATCCAGCTAATGAGGTTTGTCCTGGGACGAGGTTCAGTGATGGAGTAGCCTTGACCCTCTCTCCTCCCCCTTGTGAGGACAACTGGACACACCACCACCACCAGTATCTAGGTATCCAGGCCAAGACCTCCATCAAAATACAATAATCCAGTTTTTGATGATGGTTTTATGTGATGCGTAACATTATTTAATCGTCCCGTCTGGTCCACACAACAACAAAAAAAAGGAACTTGATGCAGCTAACGTGATTTAGTCTTTTATTGAATTACACTTGTTTTATGGTATTTCAGCGTTATGGGGATTAGCAGCAGCAACGGGGGATGGGTGAGTGAATAGATGGAAAGATAGAGGACGTTTACATATACTGAGTTATACCTTGTTGGTCTGAAACACAGCCCTTGAGGTGACTGTGGGTGGTGAGGGGCGGGGTGGTCTGGAGGTGTGAGGGTGGTGAGGGCGGGTGGCCTGGAGGTGTGAGGGTGGTGAGGGGCGGGGTGGGCTGGAGGTGTGAGGGTGGTGAGGCGGGGTGACCTGAGGTGTGAGGGTGGTGAGGGCGGGTGGTCTGGAGGTGAGGGTGGTGAGGGGCGGGGTGGCCTGAGGTGTGAGGGTGGTGGAGGGGGGTGAGGTGTGAGGGTGGTGAGGGGCGGGGTGGCCTGGAGGTGTGAGGGGAGGGGGCGGGGTGACCTGGAGGTGTGGAGGGTGGTGAGGGCGGGGTGGCCTGGAGGTGTGGAGGGTGGTGAGGGGCGGGGTAACCTGGAGGTGTGAGGGGTGGTGAGGGGCGGAGTGACCTGAAGGTGAGGGTGGGTGGTGAAGGGCTGGGTGTGGGGTGGTGGGGCGGCATCAGAGGACTCGTGTGTTTTGGTCCTGCGGCCTGGGGGTGGGGTGTTGGCAGGGGGCAAGAACTAAGAATCAGGTTTCTTGATTAGCTCCTTCAACAGTATTATGCATGAGACGTACAGACAGGCAGACAATGGCAGTCGCTCTTGGTAAACTGCCACACATACAGATGGTCGTCCACGGGGTGATCATAATATCCAATTGGTGTCTGAGAGATTACTGTTGTGTTAGTCGTCTGCTGTTGGCTTACTGTAGTGTTTATCAAGTATCTGTCGAGTTATGTTGTGGAATGAGCTCGTGGATGTCGTGATGTGGTGGCAGGTTGTCGCAATGTTACATCTTATTAAGTGAATTTAAGGTCACCAGTGTATGTGATAAGTGTTGCTGGGATCTTAGTGGCCCTCAGTAATGTACCTACTTGTTTGTTTAACGTTACACCCAGTAGCTGAGCCCTGCCAGACGTCTGAAAAAAAAAAGTGGGCTTAACTTGGTGGAGATTATGACCCCCCCAAACACCCTGAGTTCGGTGCTTTCCATGTCTATGTTTATAAAGCAACAGATGTATTGAGACAACAACAAGATAATACTATATTTGTGACCAAGATCCAACACCCAACTCTCACTACAATAGCTAGGAATTGTTGATGAGGCAAAGACACAAATTTTCCAGCAAATGATAGTGACAAATATACTGTCTATCAATTATCCATTTCATCAAGCATAACACTTTACAGGTAATACAAAGAATCTATGAATTAAACACGATACAAAGACTGTAATTTGATTGTTATTTTTGTCGAATGTTGAATGTTTTGTATTTCTTTACATTTCATGGATATATCTACTTCCACTTTAAAGGAGAGAGTTTCATGTGGGTGTGGATAATACCCCCTTACGAGGAGTCTAGTGGTGGCGGAGTGTGTTGTCGTTCCCAGCAGAGATAGCATGTAGGATCTCTACTGGATACCCGGCATACTACACGCAGTTACCAATTACCTTATGCATGTAGAAAACGTAAACTATGATATTTGTTATAAAACCGTCTTGACGATTATCTTTAGGTAACTTTTTTTTTTTAAATTTGAGGTATTGGAGGGAGGGGCAAGGATAATATAATTCACGATCCTTGGTTGCAGAGCCATTAACTGGGTGTAACAGGTTGGTTAGCTCTGATGGCTACCTTAAGAGTCACGCTAAATTTTCATTCCATCAAATAAACCTGATGAAGATAGTGTCTAATAGTTGTAGCACCATCATGTATGTTCAGTACAGTATAACAGACACTACTCGCTCACAGCAAGGCCTCGGGTTATCTATCTGACTTCTTAATATGCTGACCTAAGTGTTGTGACAAACTTGCCGACTTCCACAAATCCACGGCGCCTCCAGAGACGACAGTCCTTCTCTGGTCAGGGGAGAGAGAACACATCTCTCCCACCGAAGCTCATAACCATTGCTTCCCGTAAATAACTATATATTGTAAGTATATATAAAGACACTAACAAAATAAATAAAATAACTTATGAATGATATAATGGTGAACTGAATATTGTTTCATTATTAGATAAACATTAACAAGTTGAACAACACCGTAAGGGTATTATAGAAACAGTTTATACTATCCCTGTTCTAGGTCAAGGGACAGCTTTGAGAGGTCTTAACGTTCGTGTACACTACGGGTATGTCGGCTGACCTCTGATAAATGTTGGCGATAAATCTTGAACGTGTTGGTCGATCAATTCATGTTTACGACTGAACTATGTGCTTTGGAAAAATGTGAGTGGGATTGTTCAGGAGGGAAACACAAAGGTCACCGACTGTCGCGTGTGCAATGTACGCTCCTATTAATTAAGCTGCATGTGTTGTGCACGGCGCCACTCTACCAAAAATGTATACCTTGTTGGAAAATTACTGTTCGCTCTTCACAATAATCATAACATTATGTTTTTTTAACGATTTCCCTTTATTGAAGAATATTCCTTGGTTTCCCCTTCAGAAATATTATTGAAGTACCCTTACAGACAGGCCAAATGTGACAGTCGCTTTTCAGTCATTGAACAGCACTCCACAAGTATAAGTCTCGTCTTTTCAAACAGCTAAAATACACTCACCGGAAACAGAAGGACAATACAAGAACACTACAATCTCGAAGGGTGTAACAATGGTCTCCAATTGACCTTTCATTTCATACTTAACGATGAAGATCAGTCATTAGTCATATATTTTGCTGGGTTAAAAAGTATTTGCCAGTCCTGCGGCCACTTGAAAGGCTAATGTAAATCTTTTTGCATGGTTACGACATCATCTTGGCTTGCCGCCTTCCCAGATATCTTCACGTCATCCGCAAACTTGAATATGTGGCTCGATGTATTTTCGTCACAACTGTTATTGTAGATCACAGACCTTTTACTATACTGAATGTACTGTTTATGACCACCATTTGTTGCCTATCTTCAAACCATGCAGTGTTTAATTGACTTCAGTATTTTGCATGTGATACCTTGTGCCTAGGTCTCAGAGGCTAGTCGTGTATGTGGGACTTTGTGAAACGCCTTAGATAAATCCGCTGGTAAACCTTGGTCCATGTTGTGATGCGTTGATACGACTGTGTTTGGTCAGGTGTTGGATGATGGCGGCCCTCAGTTTTTCTCAAATCGTTTGTTTATGTGATGTTACGCTGATGGGGGCCTTTAGTTTTCTTGAATAATAAGGTGTAGTTAAATGATTACTATTATTATTCGCAGTAGTAGTATATCCATTGCTATTATTTTATACTATTAAGATATATCTAGTTGTAACTTAGAGGAATTTCAGTACCGCAAAATAATACCAGAGATACCAAGCACAATGTTATTAGTTCAGGTATTTTATTGCTACGTCTCACCTTACTGCAGTGAGCCTTCCCGCCTGAGTGGTGATGGTGGTGGTGGTGACCTCAGGTGTTCTGTACAACACTGAACAATGGACCAACTCAGACATGGGAGCAATGGAGAAATGTACACACTGATATCTTGTACCAGTTGTGTGTGTGTGTGTGTGCTCCTACTCGTACATACATACATACAAACATACATACATACAAACATACATACATACGCACATACGACAAGCGATCATATTGAAAAACACACTATGTACATACAGTCACGCTCTTGGTCAAGCAAACGCATTCCTAGATGCACAGTCATACACAGACAAGCAAAAACACTCCTACGCACACACACACACACACACACACACACACACACACACAAAATCCGTCTATACCGCTGAGTTAAAATCTCTCTTATTGGATGTAACTATGGGTAAGTTTCCATGCGTGGTTCATCAGTAATATTAAGAACCTGGATGTTAGGTGAGTGACAGATTATGCTCCGGGATGATGATTAACTAATTGGTTTGATGAGTGGCCGAGTTGTCTTGGGTGTGGCTTTACAACAGTTCATATACCTCACTAACTCAGGGTGTGGTTGTTGTGATGTGGCAGCTTCTACACTTTAAACTAACTTGGTGGCCCTGCGGCAGGTAATATTTATAAGCAGCACGTGTGCGTGTGTGTGGTAATGTCTTCTAGTTAGTCGTATCACACACACACACACACACACATAGGTAGCAGTACACAGCATCAGCCTCTTAACCCATTTAAATAAGAATAGGAGTTTCTCTCAGCTGAATATAATCGTCTGATGTTAACCAGAATAAAATACCTAAGTGCGACATTCCTTAAAGCCAGAGTCTTAATCATATTTTATCCTCAAACATCTTTCTCACAGTCGTCTTCAAGAACAGTAACTGTATTATCATTATCACATTATTAGAATTGAGATGACAGTCCAATAATTTCCACATATACTCGTGATTACTGTAAGACTGACACACTTGTTGACTCGTACAGTATTTATGAACTCTGATGGTCCGTTTTTACTCACTAACCGCTCTCACGCAGCTCACACTCCCACCATTACAGTTGTTTAAAAGAAAATTCCCTCGACAGTTGGCAATACATACACGACTTGCTTCTCGTTATGTCGTGAGGGTTGACTCAGCCTCGCCTGCTCGCTTGGTACATAACAATACTCCTCTTTCCATTCTCACC